TACAAAAATTTAACTAAGTCGATAAACAGGGAAGTTGATAAGCGACAGATCTGAAAGCGAATCCCACGGTATTGGACCACGTGCCAATGCTGTATGCCAAATATCAAAAGTTTGTTATTAGAAGTTGCCTAGAAAACTGTTACGAAAAGTTTTTCCCCGACCGCCCGACGCCCGACATTCAGCATATAATTACCCGGGTTTGCACCAGTGCAACCCGGCCAAAAACGGGAATAAAGATCAAAAAGGCAAAGGCAACGTTCACAGGATCTATCCTGTTGGGTCCCAAGGTTTCAAACCATGATATCATCTGCGTGCTTATATGGGACGCTAATCGCCAGATCAGATCAAGGATTTACAAGATGGCAACAATATACCTTACAAAACATACTTGGATCCACAATTCCTTACCTTTTGCATCTGCCTGGAAAATATAATTTTGACTTTTTGTGGGTAAGTTGTGGGAGGGGAAAACAAAAATAGCTTATTTTTGGTATTTTACCATGGTAAAAATCATCAATTTTTATATGCCCGAAAAAATTTCGGGCATATTATGTTATACCCCTGGCGTCCGTCCGTTAGCAATTTGGTTTCCGGAGCATAACTTAAGTTCTATTTGGTCCACAGTATTCAAACTTCATAGGATGATTGTCCATATTGGTAAGAAGACCCCTATTGATTTTTGGGTCACAAGGTTAAAGGTCAAGGTCTTTATTACCTTAAAACTGAAAATGGTTTCCGGAGCATAACTTAAGTTCCATTTGGCATACAGTCTTCAAATTTCATAGGATGAGTGATTGTCCATATTGGGTAGAAAACTCCTATTGATTTTGGGGTCAAAAGGTCAAAGGTCACTATTACCTTAAAACTGAAAACAGTTTCCTTTCAATAACTTAAGTATTAATCAACCTACAGCTGTAAAATTGAACAGCCATGTCCAATACATGACGCCTATTTGATTAAGGGCCGTAAGGTGAAAAGGTAAGTGTCGCAATGATCTTTTTACACTGAAAGTTGTGGTTTCTGGGCATAACTACAACTTGATGCTTGTGCTTTGAAAACAGCAACTGTATTATATATATATATATATATATAATATATATATATTGAAGGTTCTTTCAACTATAAAGGAGGATTGCTTTTTGAAGGAGGTAATACTATATTTAATTCCATGCCTTACAAATGTTTCATCCTTACTAACAAAAAAAAAACACTTTCGGGCATATAGACCTTTCATTTAAGCGATAACAGTCAGGGAAGAGTTATTTCCCTTACTGGATGTGACGTAAATGGGGGATAAAACTATGCAGGCCGCATAGAATGTTAGCTTTTTTAAAAGTTAAATGCGTCAATACTGATCGTTCAACTATGATTTTAGCATGTAAAAAATTATGCATGCTTACATGAACAAAAGAAAAAAAAACAAAGACTGAGATTAATTCTCGCTATGGAGTGAAACAGAGAAATTTCAAAGTGAATATATTTATAAGATCTAGATTTTCTCTAATACCAGGATAAAAAGCTAGTAACTAAATCAAATTTTAATATTTATAAACACCCATACTCACCAAAATTGCCTATTATAAATTTAAATGGCCATTTTCTAGTTTTCTGTGTAATGTTCTGTCATTTAGAAAATTCTGGCATATTTGTGACAAACATGAAAATAAGATTGCCAATGTGTTTTAATGATTGTTTTTTCAAGCTTTAATAGAGCAATTACAGAATGCATTCTGTCAATACTTACTGATTCTCTTTCATTATGCCGTATAAAAATATTTCAAAGAACCAGTAAAGGATATAATTTTATAAATATTCCGGAAAGAACGAAAACCATAATTAACTTTTATAATTTTAAATTCGCAACAGACGATAATAAGATACTTTTGATATTAAAGATCTATTCTTATGGTTATAAAAATAAAGACCTTTTCCCAGTAACTTATTTTATAGATAAATAGATGTGTATATATAAGCGACACTGGGTCGTAACATAGTAATTTACAGGGTGCATATGTTGTATACGAGGGTTGTTCGAAAAGTAATAGGACTTAGAGTCTTGTATATTTATATTTCATCCCATTTAGAATATTTTCATATGAATAGAGTTCTACAATTCATGCATAGGTTTATTAATTTATTGTGATGAACGCGCGTTTCCTGTGATATTGAATAACCATGGTAACACACACCCGGCGCACCACATAAAATATAGTTATTGAAGCTAAGTTGTACTTCTAATTTATTCATAATTTATACCCTGTTTGTTCATATATTCCACCAACACATTAATTGATATTTAAGTGACATTATATCTAAAGTTGAGGTCATTCGGGCATGAAAGGGCATAATCATTTAGTCTTGAACAGCTGTGGTCATGACGTTAAATGTAGAAGTACGGCACTCGTTAACAAACAGAAATTCGACGGGACGTTATTGACGTCAATTGCAAAAGTGCTAGCTGTAACAGGATCGACGGTAAACGGTACGCGGACTGTTCGGCACTTTTAATGTCTGTTTCGGGTCTTCTTATTCAGTTCTCACCAAAGGATTATACATAAGACGTTTCTATCAAACACTATTTTATTGTATCTCATTAGATATACTTGGTTTTAATAAATTAATATAATAATGATTAACGGTAATGATTAGCAGTATTTTCCCCAAATTTTGTTTTAATAAATGATACCTATCTATTGATAAATATTGTTATTTTACTTATATAATAATTTTGTTTTAAAAACGTACGTTGACATACATGTGAAAATTAATAATATAAATCGCTTTTGCATAAGCATTATGAGACCAGGCTTGTTGAGTTCCTAGTTTACTCAAAATATTCTAGAAAGTCGAGAATGATCGGCTATCGGGCATCTTTCTTGGAGAGTTGAACGAAATTGTGATCGCTTTCTTTCTCGTTTGATCTCCACACATGAAACCTGATCATAGTCACATAATTCAGACACCTGGAGCACTAGGGAGAATACTTTCAGGATGGATGACACTTGTTATATTTTGTATTTAGTTAACGACGTCATGAACGTCATTTATTGTATTGTTTGCGTGCCCCGGGTTTCGTGCCCCTTAAATTGTCATTTGAAAATTTCACAGAATTGTTATTTGTAAACATTTTGTATTGATATTTTCACTGTATATAGAAAACATGTTCCAAATATGTGTTTCTTGTAAAATTATGTACGTAAATTAAAAAATGTGAACAGTAGAGCTGCAGTCCTATTAGTTTTTGAACAACCCTCGTATAGAACGGCACTTGGCTGTGATATCATAAATCACCAGGGTGCATTTATTAGAGTTATAACATTACATTAGATTACGTCACTTTTGCTAGTTGTCAAAATATTTATGGTCCGATCATCCTAGGGACTTTATTGGTCATGCCTTACTGATATACTCGATCCAGAGTCCTACCAACTGGCACAGTCAAAAATACGTAAAATTATAATTCAGTTAATAACGAATATCTGTGAACGTGTTTCACAACTTGTTTTTCTGTGATTTTTTTTTAAATATTTGATAAGCAGAGTATGAATTAAAAAGTATCAAGTATCAAGTTGAAAATATTACTATTACCTTAACACTGAAAATGGTTTCCGGAGCATATTACCAGCTTAAATATATTGGTGTAATGTACGATTTTTTGAGAGTGCATTTTTCTTTTGCCGACACAAATAGTATACAGTCATGTACATTCAAAAGAATTATTACTTTTTATGCCTTTATTTTTATAGATTTATATTGTTGTTTTTCTTTGTCTTAGTAATGCTTAAATCAAAATGATTTTAATAAATCAGTATCTTGCAATTAATTATTACGCACCCGTTTTTCGAAACTACAGAATCCTTACATTTTTGAAACTCAAAATATCTTTTGGGTATTGTATATTAGCAGAGACATAGATACATTATCTATATTCCTGGTATTAGCAAGTTAGTACGATTTAACTGCCTGGTAAAATTTACATTATTAAGAATCTAACGAAAATGATAATCATGATCAGTTACCCAGCCATATGGTCTACTATTAAAACAAATCGTTACCCTTATTATAGTAAACATTTTTTATTCATTTCACCATCCTTTTTATGTAATAACCTATTCAATTACAGAAAATTTTGGCAATTTCAATCTGCCAATCTTACAAGAGAAAGGATTAAGATCTTTATATCTCTCTATTATTGTACTTAATCGTATTGGCATTGTCCAACGTATCCCCCAACGACGTCATCCAAGGGCGACAACTTGAATAGGTCTGAAATGAAAGGGTCTATAATGCTCCGCCTAGCGGTGCTTTTGTTAATCTTGCAATAATGTTTTCTTTACAAACATCAGTAAAAATTCCCGTTTTAGACCAAAATAATGTTTTCTGTAATTATCCCAATTTATTTTAAAACTATTTCATTTTCACCAAGAAAATAATCACATTGTACAAGTCAACATCAGGTTTCTAGTATACAGAACATTTACATTTCCTATTTCATACAATAATGCTTTCCCCTGTTAGAAAAGTTTCTCATTTTATTTCCAATCCAATTTCATAACCTACAAATAATTATCACATTCTATAACTTCACATCATTTTTTGCATTACAAAAAAGACATTTCCTATTTTATACCCACAATAATATTTTTCTCTGCAATTAGATTATTCCAATTACCCCTGGAATTATTCACGTAGTAATGTTTATTATTACAATTAATAAGAAAATTATAACTCTGTTTTTTACCATTAGAATATTATTACATTTCAAGTAGGCAATAATGAGTTCACCTTATTACTATACATCAGCTGACAAACTATATCGATCAAACATATTTACTAACCCAAAATTGTCAACTTCAAGGAAAATATGACTTTCTCTAAATGATTTTTAGATGATTCTTAAATAGCATAGCAAGATGAAAGGCTGACAATATTAAATCAATTACCATCATTATGTGCACCTGACTTATGTGACTTGACCTCTGTTGACTGTCCACTGTCATCCCCGGGTGTATGTCTATGTGATTTTGGAGGCTGTTGCATTTCTGGAAATCCTTGAGCTGGGAAATACTTCATAGGAAATCTTGGCGTAGAAGGCATATTATGTCCACCTTGGGAAATATTTTGATACGGAGGTGGCATGCGAAACATTTGATACCCTGGAGGAAAACCAGGAGGCATCAGTCCAAGTCCACCAGGACCAAATGGAAAATTCATCCCTTGACCATAACCTTGACCTCTCTGTGGATCATGACCTTGACCTGGATGTGGTGCATAACCTTGTTGCGGACCATGACCTTGCTGTTGCTCATTTCCAGGCATAGGTTGTTGACCTGGAAAATGACCCTTCATACCACCTTTATTCATATTTGGATCCCCACTACCAGGAAAATTATGATAAAATCCTGGCAATGCACCATACGGGCCTGGAGGCCAAGCATACTGTTGTGAATTTTGATGATCTGCTTTTGGTACCTGTTGTTCTTGTTCTTGTATCTAAATATAAATATATATGTATACACATTCGAAAATTTACTTAATGACACATTTTCAATTAAATCGGCATATAAATTACCTATATGAATAACCAACAAAAGTGTTTTTAACTACATACAATATTGCTGTTCACATCACTAGACTATTAAATATAAAAAATATCATTTAATTGTTAATTATCTAAGGAATTTTAGTATAAAAACCTCATAATACTGCACCTAATAATGCCCAGTATGTTCAGGACTAAGAATTCCATATGTTTTCTGTGTCAGTAATTCTTTGAATACAAGCTACAATATAATTAGTTGACTTTACCCAAAGTATAGAGTCATTCTAGTTTTTTACTTATTCATTGTATGGAAACCCACTGTATCATTTAATGGATATTGTGATTTGATTTTGTAGGTCTGTGAACGTAAAAAGGAAAGATTTTATAGTATTTGATGTTAACAGTTACATCTAATGGGTTAAAACTACAGAAAATGTAGGTTGTTTTCACCAATTAGTGAAATAGCAACTAAACCTGCCACAGAAGTGACAAATATCCCCACATGACCTCTAGGACACAGGATATTATGTGGTGCAATTTTTCATTATCTGAAAGAAAACTTTAGAGATGTATTTGAAGGGAAAAAACCCTTAATAAATCGCACACTGCTTTTGAAAGAGTTTTCCATGTTTCTAAATTCACGTTTTCCAAAGTTTTCTGTTTCTAAATTCATGTTTTCCAAAGTTTTTTGTTTCTAAATTCATGATTCAAAGTTTTCTAAGTATTAATAAGGTGATACTTTTTCTTATTTGGGTATACTTACTTTTATTTGCATACACTAAAACGGTTTGGCAAATAGAGTTTTTCACACACTTATATATTGTAATTTGATTGTTGACACTTGTGACATTACGAGGCGGCATTCTCTAAAACTAGAGGGCCATGATGGCCCTGAGGTCGCTCACCTGTATATAGGCTCCCAGAGCGGGGCCAGTTTAAACCCCAGGGCTTTTATTTGAACAAACTTGGAAGACATCCATTAGAAGATGTTTCATGATGTTAAGTTTTTACTACACACATATAATGAAAAACAATGACCTCCGCCCCCCCCCCCCCCCTGGCAGGGCCAATTTTAACCCAACGGCTTTTATTTGAACAAAGTTGGTAGACACCCACAAGAAGATGTTTCATGCTACACATCTAACCTCTAGCTCATTGGGTTTTTTAAAAGAAGATTTTTTAAGTTTTTACAATACACATATAGTTAAAAACAATGACACCTCTGAGGCGGGAACAGTTTTGACCCAAGGGCTTTTATTTGAACAAACTTTGTAGACACTTACAAGAAGATATTCATGCTTAATATCTAAACTCTAGCTATTTGGGTTTTTTCAAAAAAGATTTTTAAGTTTTTGCCATTTAGGAAAATCAATGACCCCCGGGACGGGGCCAATTTTGACCCCAGGGCTTTTATTTGAACAAACTTTGTAGAAACCCATTAGAACATGTTTCATGCTAAATATCTTAGCTCTAGCTCTTTGGGTTCTTTAAAAGGAGACTTTTTAAGTTTTTACAATATGCATATAGGGAAAATCAATGACCCCCTGGGGCGAGGCCAATTTTAACCCCAGTGCTTTTATTTGAACAAACTTGGTATACAATCATAAGAAGATGTTTCATGCCAAATATCTTAGCTCTAGCTCTTTGGGTTCTTTAAAAGAAGACTTTTTAAGTTTTTACTATATGCATATAGGAAAAATCAATGACCCCCTGGGGCGGGGCAAATTTTAACCCCAGGGCTTTTATTTGAACAAACTTTGTAGACACTCACTAGAAGATGTTTCATGGCAAATATCTTAGCTCTAGCTCTTTGAGTTTTTTAAAAGAAGATATTTAAAGTTTTTTCTTTCGGTTGCCATGGCAACCAGAGTTCTGCATGGAATGGAATTCTTTGAACAACTTTGTTAAGGCTTCACACAAGGAACATCCCTGTGAAGTTTCATTATGATCTGCCTTATGGTTTCAGAGGAGATGTCGTTTTAAAAGTGTGAACGGACAACGGACGACGTACGACGGGCGAAGAGTGATCCTAATAGCTCACCCTGAGCAGGTGAGCTAAAAACACCTTGACAGGTAAAAGTGGTCGTTTAATGAAAAGATTGATCTCAATTAGCTGACTAATTAGCGGTCGTTGGTCGCGTTTAGCAAAAGTCGCTTAATGCATTAAAGATAAAGAGAGAAAATGAACGGGGGGAATTGAAAGTGGCCGCATAAGACAAGTCGCTTAATACACGTGGTTGCATGGGCAAGTTAGACTGTATATATATATAAATGGTTTAATAAATAACACACTTTTTCCATTATAAATTTTACATTTAAATAATACTTTTTCAGGATGTTTGACGTTTTTCATCCAAACTTTACACAAGTGCATATCGATCAACGCGAGTAGCATTTGAAACTATTTAAATAAGAAATGGCAAAAAAGAAGATCCCAAAAATACTAAAGTAATATATAAATACCTAATAGTTAAGCAGTTAAAACACTGACAGGGGACCTCTGTCTACCTATAAAGGGCATTGAAATGAAAATGGACTTTGAATTTTTTTTTTATTTATCACGCTTCATTCTGCCTTACCTATTTCTTGCATTGTTATAATAATCTTTGTTATTTAAATCAAGTTATCATCTGCGGAAAGGGGGAAAGTACTCTTATATTCATAGTTTTTTGTTTAATTGGCTGTTCAAAATCACAAAGGAGCTATTATTTGATTATTGATTAACTACTATGTGCTTTTATACAAAGCTGAATTTTTGCAAAGTGCCCCTAGTATCTCAAATTTTATTCAACATTAGTGATTGAAAAAACCGCAATTTAAAGTCACTTAACTGATACAGACAGATCACAGCATTTTGGGGGAACATATACCTGTTTAGGATAGGAGAAACAGCCTTTAATTCAGCTGTAAATATAGGGAAAAATCATTGCCAGTGTAGTTCTGAACAAGTAAAATTGTTGCATAAAAATACTTAAAACTCTGATTAATTATTTGTTTACTAGAAAATAAAAGAAATTTACATGTTTTCCTTTTACATTCTCCTGTTATCATAAATTAAACTAAATAACCTCATGGTAAATAACCAGTAGACCTTATTAACATTTTATACAAATATTGAATGAAAAGTGTTAATGTAATAAGCATTTACACTGGCGACTGTTTAATATTAACGGCTAAAGCCCTTTGAATAAAGTACAGGCAGTTTTAAATTAAATGCAGGGAAATTTAAAAAATTACTACAAATTTCTTAGGGATAAAACCTAAAGAAACTAGTACCCTCAACACAATCGAAATCATCAAGGGACCTATTACAAAAAACCTCAGGTGCACAACCGAAATCAACATCAACCAAGACCATATGGGCAGGCCTTCCAACAAAAGCAAGCACAACAGACAACGAGACATCACAAAAATAAATGTAAATAACAACATATCAAATCTGACAAATACCACTGACAATTTTGTTGCAGGAAAAACACAAAATTATTATTTAAACTGGAAATCACTTACAAATGATAAGTGGATACTTCAAACTATAACAGGCTATCACGTAGAATTGGCCGAAACACCCTTTCAACATACAATTCCAAAAGCATTATCATTTAATGTGTCGGAGCAAAATTTAATTGAGTCTGAATTAAACAGATTTCTTAATTGCAACATTATTGAAAAAGTAGATAATATAACACAAAGAGATGAATTTATTTCAAACATTTTTATTAGACCGAAAAAAGATGGTAAGATTAGAATTATTCTTAATCTTAAATAATTTAACGATAGCTTTATGGAAAGTATTCACTTTAAAATGGAAACATTACAACATGCAATCAACTCCATGCGAAAAGATTGTTTTTTCGCATCTGTAGATCTGTCTGAAGCATTTTACTCCATCCCTATTCTAATGCAAGACAGAAAATACTTCAGGTTTATTCATAATGGTCAGAAATATCAATTTACCGCTTTAGTTATGGGTTTAACCACATCCCAAAGGGTTTTTACTAAAGTGACGATACCTGTTTTTGCATCTCTCAGAGGGAAAGGTCATATTAGTTCAGCGTACATAGATGATTCTTGTCTACAAGCATCAACGTTTGCTGAATGCCAGAAAAATGTCTCAGACACAGTTAAACTCATGGATTCATTAGGACTGACAGTTCATCCAATAAAATCAGTTTTGATACCATGTTAACAAATAACATTTTTAGGATTTATATTGTGTTCTGAAACAATGTCTGTAAGGTCAACCCCGGAAAGGCAAGAAGAGTTGATAAGTCTGTGTGGTTCTGTTCTTTTAAAAAGGTTTTTAACAATCCAATTGCATATAAATATTTTAGAATTGAAAGCACGTCAGTTAGCGCTAACTTCATTATGTAAAGACACTACTCAGTGTCATATCAGAATTTACATGGACAATAGCACAAGCTGTGCTTATGTTAATACATTTGGCGGTAAAACTGATGAATTAAATAATCTGGCCCGAGAAATTTGGATGTGGTGCATAGATAAAAATATATTTATAAGTGCAGCACATGTAGCTGGAACTGAAAACAATGAAGCAGATAGGCTGTCAAGGAAGTTCAATGATGACTTGGAATGGACACTGAAAAGACATATTTTAGACAAAATTAAAGAACAGTATCCAAATATGTCAGTAGATCTGTTTGCTTCTAGACTTAATCATAAGTTAGAAAAATATGTTTCTTACTTACCTGAAACAAACAGTATTACAACAGATGCATTTACATTAAATTGGATTGATGATCTTTATTACATATTCTCTCCTTTCAGTCTAATACCAAAAATACTAAAGAAAATAGCAGAAGACGAAACCGAGGCAATTATGATATGCCCCATTTGGCCAACACAAGTTTGGTGGCCATCCCTGACAAGACTGATCAGCGGACCTCAAAACATTCTTTACCTACCACACAAACCAAACAAGCTTCATTCG